GGTGTAAGATGAGTGGTGTGTGATGAGTGGTGTGTGATGAGTGGTGTGAGATGAGTGGTGTAAGATGAGTGGTGTCAGTGGTGTAAGATGAGTGGTGTACTGCGCCTGCCACAAAACAGGCAACCGCGGCCCAGCGGCGACCACGCGCGCCGCAGCTCCTCCTGAAGGCTCTGTGTACTGCGCCTGCCACACAAAAGGCAGTCGCGGCCCAGCGGCGCCCACGCGCGCCGCAGCTGGTCCGGCTCTGTGCACTGCCCCTGCCACGAAATCTTCCTCCTGAAGGCTCTGTGCACTGCGCCTGCCACGAAATCTCCACTCCAGGTTCACCAAGTGCTGTGCCTGCGGCGAAATCTACATGACAGGCAGCCGTGGCTCAGCCGTGTAAGATGAGTGGAGTAAGATGAGTGGTGTGAGATGAGTGGTGTAAGATGAGTGGTGCAAGATGAGTGGAGTAAGATGAGTGGAGTAAGATATGCGGAGTAAGATGAGTGGAGTAAGATGAGTGAAGTAAGATGAGTGGTGTAAAATGAATGGTGCAAGATGAGTGGTGTAAGATGAGTGATGTAAGATGAGTGGTGTACGGTGAGTGATGTAAGTAAGATGAGTGGTGTAAGATGGGTGGTGTAAGATGAGTGGTTTAAGAGGAGTGGTGTAAGATGAGTGGTGTAAGAAGAGTGGTGTAAGATGAGTGGTGCAAGATGAGTGGTGTAAGATGAGTGGTGTGAGATGAGTGGAGTAAGATGAGTTGTAGTAAGATGAGTGGTGGAGGGGCGGCGGCGGAGGAGGAGGCAGACGCGGATGCGGAGCGGCGGGTGCAGAGCGGAAAACAAGAACCCTGCATAGTGATGTGGGGAAATATTTTATCTGCACAATTCAATTTTTTGTTTTTTGTACTAGGAAGATATTCTATGTCTATGTGCATACCAAATAATTTTCCATATTCTATTTGGTCGTCCGTTACTCTATATATATATATATATATAGTGTTTAAGGGGCCTCCTTCGATCAATAATGTCATTGCGCCGTAAACACACACATATATATATGTGTGTGTGTAATATATATATATAGACATGAATTATATGTTTTTAAACCACCAACATTTCGCAATTTCGCCCCCTTCATTTCGCCCTTTCGAGGCGCAACAGGCCAGTCTGCGCTCGGAGCTGGCCCAGGTCGAGGCTCCGTTGCAGCGGCCAAAAAACGCTCCGATCGTGCAAGGGCCCCACCCTCCAAGACAGGTCTTAATCCAAAGTCAACAGAGCCTGGTGGAACGCCAAGAGGATAGGACTTTGATGGTCTTGCCTCATCCCCCATCGGAGTGGACCGAACGAAGAGATTTCTGGAATCCAAATAGGAAGACCCGGGGACAGGTCCCGAATGGTGGGAATCCCGCCAAAAACACGGTCTACATTCACCCCCAAATCCCGCACATGTAGATCACATTTGCAGTCCCATGGAGTGTTTGGGTATGATTTGAGGCCACTCCGCCATTTTGCAAAGGTCCGAAAGGATATATAGATGAACACGAGACTCAGTTGTTCCTCAACTAGGGCACGTAGTTTCCAGGGTCTTCTCAGATGTCCGGCCATTGGTTGCCCCAAACTGGATGCCCACTTGACCATTGGATGACTCTGAAACTAACTGTGCAATTGCAATGACAATCTTGAGACGGGTCCGTTAATGCTAGTCTGATCTAGCCACAGTCTGAGAATTTACTACTCGTGCTGCACATGAAGCGTCAAAACAGACCTACTCACACATATGCAAGATGCGTAGATGAAGCATCATACTAGCCAGACGTGCATGATTGCGTATGTGATATGTAGATGTTTGATGATGTTTGTTTCCACAAGTTGCCTGGTTGTTTCATGTGTCCAGCTGCACCTACTCCCTCACACTCTCAACATGCAAAGAAGCGAACGGGCCTGCGTGAGGCTTGCGTGAAACGATCACCTGCATTTCTTTTGCAATCAAAAAAAGGCTGGAGGCCTGCGAAAAGTGAACGTTGTTTGACAACCCCGCACTGAGGATTAGATTAGAAGACATCATAAGACATCCAAGATTCTGGTACAACAACCACCCAGCCAAGCACCGACCCAGTTACACCTATAGATGAAGCCGCGCCTATGCCGCACAGGATGCGGAGCAGCCCTTGCGGCGACAGAACTCTGAGCGGGGGATCTGTGCAGAGGGTTGACCTGACAGACCAGGAAAGGGACGACCATTTTGCACCATATCCCAGACACTCCATGTAACATATGGCATATTGACATACCATTGGGCCACTGGGGTGGTTTCAGGGGTCAATGTAGGCATATATATTCCATACATGGACATGGAGCGTTTGGGTATCCCCATAGTGACCAACCATTTGCACATCAGTCCCGCTACGAGCCTCCATCGTTTCCCTTACTCGGCGAGTCGTTGTGTAAGGATTGTTTAGGGATTGTTCCATTGTTTCCCTTTGCTGGTCCCAAGCCTCCATCAGCGTTTCCCTTACTCTGCAAGTCTTATGTCTTATATGATTTATGTATAGGGATTTTTTCCATAGATCTTGGTTAATGAGGTCTTTGATGGTCTAAGCCTCAACCTGGTTTTGCTAGCCAGGTGATGTTTTGATTTTCCTATGGTTGAATCCCCAGACCTGAGGAATATGTGTTGTTTCTAATTTTCCTCCAGGTTCCTGGACAGAAAATCCAAGTGAATGGTCCCGAAGCACCAGATGCTGCCAGATGAGGCTCAAAGCGGAGCTGGCCATGGCCAAGCAAATGCCGCGGGCTTGGGTAGGTACCAGTCAGAGTCCTTTCACATTGCTTCCATGGGAACCTCCAAGTGCCAGTGAAAGCATTTGCCAGTGCAACATGGTGAAACAATATAAGCCCTAAAGATGCGTGGATCCCACATTCCTCGATTCGAAGCCTGTGTTTTCTCATGTGAACTTTGGAATCATCAACCCATGGGTCGTCAATACTGGGGTCCTTCTTCACTTGATGATTAGGTATTTGTAAATTCCGGGGTGAACATTCATGATTTCATACATGCAGGCATCATTGTCGTTTGGCCTCGCCATTCCATAATATGTTCGGCGTCAGCAGTGGACAGTGGTCGTGCAGCATGCACTCTTCATCAACTGTAGGAGTCAAGTGGACTTAGTTAGTAATGGGTTTCTATGAAAAAAAGGGGAGGCCCCGCAATGAAATTTCCCCAGGATGTTGTCCGGCGCCCGCTTGGCATTGCTTGACAGAAAGGATTGAACATCCAAGCTTCATGTTGCCTCCACCGGTGGCCCTGCATGACTCGATGAGGTTCAAGCATCAAGTGATTGGTCAAATGTTCGGGCGCATCCTGGTTGCTACAATGGGAGCCTGCTTGAAACGCGTGAGGAGCTGCTCGAGAACGCACGAAAACCTCAGCATTCTTGATCTATCACCATGCCTGCCCAACAACCACGTGGTGGCCTCTTTCAGAAACATAGATCCCGAATACTCCCGAATGGTCAGCGATGATTCATTTGGCAATCTATGTCGGAAAGAACTATGGTGGAAACATGTGGAAACATATGCAAAAAAAAATATATACAAGTCGAGTGCAACAGACCCCCGAAGAGTTGTCGAAGTTCGTAGATCCCCCGCGTAGATGTTTGATGCATTGGACACCGTTTCTATTGGTCTATGTAAGGGGACCACGACAGCTCAGTCGTCATTGGAAGCTTCGGAGCACCGGAGCGGGTGGCACATCTCGCGCCATGGCGAAGACCGTGGTGGTGGGTGGAGGCAGCTTTTGGGTGTGGAGTGGGAAGTCAGACCTGAAGCAGCTTCTGGGGCAAAGGGACTAAGGGATATAACAATTTGTAGACTGGAAAAGTGAGAAAAAAAAAAAAGAGATGAGAGAACGAAAAACCCTGCGCTTTTGCAGGATGACCGTGGCACCTCATGTTCCGTGGGATGGTTTGGTGGATGGCTTGCATGGGGCATCTTTGAAAGATAGCAGAATAGGAAATGCTGAAGTGCTGGAACTTGCGAACTGCATAACTTTGGGCAGTGGAAAACTTAGCACATCTTATCACTTTGGTAGAGGCCCAAAAACCAAGTCGACTGCAACCTTTGCCGATTGGCCATCTGTAGGGGTGCGACGGTCCACCTGTGTTTGAGACGGTGAGACCATGTGAGACCAATAGAAAGTCACTTACATACCACCACTTTTGCTTCTTGTCGTGCGACTCTTCGGGTGTTTCCACACTGGAGTGTTCGACACGACCGAAAGAAAAAAAACACTAGTGGCGACTCAGTGGCGACCTGGGTAAAACAAAGACTCAGCGGCAATCGTCTCCTGTGGTCGTTGCAAGGTATTGGCGGCTGTGCAGCAGCTCTTGCGTCGCTCAGCATGTGATTGGAGGAGTCAAGGTGCAACGGGTGTCCTTACCAATGTCCCAAAGTTGATGTAAAATCCGACTGTTTTATGCAAGTAGATCCTGTTGTACAGATTACAGCTAGACGAGCAAGTTAGCCAAGGGGATGTTCGGATTGAGGGATGAGAGCTGACCAAAGAGTGGATGTGTGGCTTTGTTTGCCAGCATGTTAGGCATGCATTCCCTTTGGCACAAGACATGAAAACCATGCACCGACGAATGCCCAAGCTCAAAAACTGAGCCAAAGACCTGTATCGGCTCCTGAGGCTACACCGGGCTGGCGCCGATGTGATCATCTACGAGGCTGTCACACAACCCCTTGGGCTGACATTGAGGATTGGGATCACTGGTGTTGAAGTTTGTTGATCCTAATTACCTTCTTGTCGTAACACTGCTGCTATATATATATATATATGTATTTTGGTATATTATATAAAGTATATATACATATATCTCAAAAATCCCGGTACCAAGTTCTGAGGCTGTACCGAATGGTGAAACCACTGTCCCAAAGCGAGCAATGTCAGCCTAGCAGGAACGATTTTTTTGGTAGTGTTGGCGGTGGGGAGGTTTGTGTTGGGAATTGTAAGGCGTGGAACTTGCCACAGGCCGGGGGGGGCGGGAGAAGTGATGAGATGGAAAGAAGACAAAATGGTGCACATTCATATATAGTAAATCCAATCAACTCATGGATCAGAGGATGATGTACACTGTACACTCATCACGCCCATCTCCAATCCCACCATCTCCCAGACACTCCGTGTATGCCATATCAATCCATATCTGGCGGTTTGGGGGATCAATGTATGCTATTCCATACATGGATCCGTTTAGGCCTTACAAATCATAAGCCGCTCCCAGGTCTTCTGTTCGCCGCACGACCCAGGTCGAAGACTCGGACGAACTCGGAAGTGCGGACGTCAGCGTTCGGTAGGTATCGTGGATTGAGAGGACCAATGGCACAGACCCCAAGGTCGATGGTGGTTTAGTAGTAGACACCCTGACCAGTCCAGGACATCGAACGGGGCACCAGTGCCATTTCTCACCTCTGAAACCACTGAGCTGAACGGGAGAGGCTGTAGCAGAGGCTGAAACCACTGTGTTCCCGCGGAGGGCACCCGCTCCGGCACCCGGAGGGCACCGGAGCCTGCTGGGCGCCGGGATAGGCAGCGCCGGAGCTGAAAGAGCTGGGCGCCGGGATCAACGTCCAAGCAGTGGCTGTGAGCTGGGGACCTCAGGGGGCAGCTAGCAAGGGATGTTTTTGGAGTGTGCATCATGTAGTGTAGACTGTTGACACTTATGGACCATGGAGATGTGAAAACCTCGGCCTTTGTCCTCGGCCATAGTCCTGGGGCTTTGTGAATACACAACACTCACATTTTGGGGCTGTGGATGTGGTTTGGACACTCAAGAAATGGACCGCTGTGGGTGGAACTTCACCGTGGACGACAACGTGATCAATGATTGTTTGCCGACCTTTCTCAACCTTGAGATACGCCCGGACCCCAAGGATAGCTCAGCGGTGCCCGGTGCCTCCAGGAAATCCGTAGATCATGTGCCAAGTCACTGGGACCTTGTACCTGCAGCGAATGGTTACTGAGAATGACTCCATGACTGTGCTTTCTGAGATGTGTGACCTGACAATGACATTCAGGTCAAGCCGCTTGAATCACTGAAGCACTATCACTTTTGCTCTCATTGTTCTCCACTTTGGCTACAGCCCCAGGAATAGCCAGGCAGCACCTCAATTGCATTTCTGGGAGCTTTCTAAATCTGAGCGAACTGGTGAACTGTTGAACCCAAGCCAAACCAGGTGCTGACGAAACCCTGGTGAACTGACTGACTTGCGGGTGGTTGGGGTTGGATTGTCGAAACTCCAAGAGGTTGGATTGATCACCCCAACTGGGGTTGGATCGCTAGTGACTTACACAACAGGATGGTGAAATCGTTGGATGGCTTGAGAACCTGACAAGGTCAAGCTTTTAGCAGAAATCCTGTGATGAATGTGCCTGAGGCGATGATTTCTTTCATCATCCCACTTTGCAAATCAACATGGGCATTGTGTAGAGTTCTAGGAATGATATGAACTGAATTATATACTGCGCAATGTTTCCACACAGGCTTGAAAGGGGGTATATGTCCAAGGTTCCTGGATGCTCCCCCTGCGGCTCAGGTGTTTTGACCGATCTGGGCATTCCGCTGGAGAAGTTCCACGCCCCCTCAGAAGGCCCGGTAGAGCAACTGAGTAGATCTGAGCCTGGTTGGGGTGTCAAAGCTGGTCGTGGATCACCGACGTTGTCAGCTCATGTCAGCTCTACTTTATATTTTTTGGGGGGGTCATAGGTGGGGGACTGTGAGAGGTGTAGTAAAGTTCCTTATTTGATTCATGTTGCCGAGCTGCCTGGCCAAACAATAAGAATATTACAGAATATGATCAAATCATTGCCATGTATTGCCATGCCCGTTTCGTACTGATGCAATGCCCCGTTTCGGGGCTGTTTGGATCTCTTTTTCAGATATCTCCTTGTCCAAGTAGACTCAGGTGGTGCGGATGTTTTTGGGGCAGTAGACTCAGATAGGGAAGGGTCCAGGTCATCGGGGGATGAACCTCTCCGACCGATGAAGCCAATGCCCACCCGCCCCGACGTCGCCTTCTGTCAGCACCCGAGGGGATGCCATCTTCACCAGCGCAGTGGAATACTTCACGGCCGAAGGCTTCTTCATCTCTTCGGAGAAGGTGGGGTGCCTTGGCTCAATTTGCTGGGGAAAGCTCTGATCCGAGGCGAGCCTCGAGTAACTATTCTTGTTGGGGGAACAAGACTCACAATTCTGTTTCTTCTGGCTTGGTTGGGTTTCATGCCAGCAAAAAGCATTGCGTTGCATCGCTCAACAATTGAGATCGCCCTCACTCATCCAAAGTCTCGATTGGCATCACTTCTTTTGGATGCCTCATCTCCTTCACACACCGGCTGATGGCTAGCCAAGCATGTGCATGGGCGGAGACGGGTCAAAACCTGGGGCGTTCCAATGGATCGACTCCTCGACTGGTAAATTGTCATATGAGCACCTATACTAGTTACTACACTCCCATTGGAAGTGGACCATGACCTCTGAATAAAGACCATGTTTTTCTCTACAAACAGCTGGTGGCCATCCAGGAGAACCTACGTTTTTCCATGAGTTCAGAGAGTGTAGCCCGGTGGAGGGGTGAAGATTATCCGGCAAGCCCATGACCAAATCCTCATGAATCCTCCTGAATGCCACTGATCCAGGCTGGCAGCAGGTGCTTCACAGCCGCAGTTGTCGGCGCACCGCGCTGCTCGGGCTGGGAGAATCAGCCGAGAATGGTGTGGAGAATTGGTGGAAGAGTACGCCTCTCAAAGGAGGGGCTGGACGACTGTGAATATCTATGGATTTCTTGGGTGAAGATGATGAAGGATGGCATAAGTGGAGAATGGCCATGCCAGGAAAGCTGGTTGTGACATATCAAAGAACTAGCAGAGCTTGCAGAAACCCGGAGATGGTCCTATCTTTGTCAAGTGCAATCTTGAAAGTTTGTTCTCACCATTGGGCCGTGAGAAAATGCAACTCAGGAGTCCGCCTTTGAGCACTTGAGCAGCTAAATCCCGCACCCATTCAAAACATGGATATGGAAATCATTGGACATCCGTCAAGAACGAGTGGGCATGATGAGGCTTGTCGACCCAAGTGTGTGTCGGAGCATTAGGAGCTTGGTGCGTGGCCAAGTTTGTCTCGTGTCATTCCTTTGGAATCGGAGTTCGTTAAAAAGATGTCAAAAACGGACCGGACCTTGGAAGAAAAGAATGGATTGCACGACCGCACGTGTGAGTCTTCGTGGCACCAAGGGGCACCCACTCACCTCCATGGATAGCACCCCGAGCTCTGTGACTGCTGGTAGTGGTACATGTGATTTTTCATGAGTTGATGGTACTGTGGTAGTGATACATACATAATGGTACATGCATGGTACATACATACTGCTGGTAGTGGTACTTGTATGATCTTGTATGCATTTTCGCCTGGCTCAGGAAGTTCTGGACTTCCTGCCTGCGTTCCAAATGCGTTCCAAATATGCTCGGAGAAGACCCACTGATCCTCCCTCCAACAAACATGGTTACGTGGAACATGGCCTCGAAAGGAAGACGGTTATCCTCTACCAAACATGTGTTGGAAACTACATCCAGCTTGCTTTCTACATCCAGAGTATTCAAGCTTCTTCTACGTCCAGCGGTGGAAAACCCACTTCTCCCCTCGCCGCCTTCTTCCGCGCCCGAGCCGCGCCGAGCCGAAGAGCCGAGGCCAAGTTCCATAGCACGTTGTTGGCGGAGTGCCTTCGCGTCCTGGGTCAGGTGCGAGCAGGTATTTGGAGGGACGAGCTGAGGAACACACCAGGGTGTTAGTGTTTGTTGGTTGTTGGCTGTTTGTTGTTGTTGATTTTGCTTGTTCTTGTTCTTGTTCTTGTTGATGTTGATGTTGTTGTTGTTGTTGGTTGTTGGTTGTTGTTGGTTGGTTGGTTGGTTGGTTGGTTTTGGTGTTGGTGTTGTTGTTTTGTTTTGCATAAGAGGTCGTCCGGTCGTCCCCCATAGATGTTCCTGTAACATGTTGAGAAAATACATTTCTATAGTGCCGGCCTTTGTGAGTGCTTGGACCAGTTGGGGATGGTTTGAAGGATATTTTTGTCACCAATGTTGTCCAATCTGGACTGCCGTTAATGGCCTTGAAGCCATGCGGTGGAACCTTTGGTGCTAATTTGATGGTGGGTGACCTTCAGGGACACCCAGAACTCAGGTTTGGATGCTTTGGTGAGTCTGGGCCCGCCGCAGTCCACGAATTACCACATCGCTTTTCAGTCGTATCTCCGAATCCTATTCCACATGCAGAATGCAGCCGCATGGTCAGGAGAAAGTGATCCTGAACAGCCGCTTCACACAGCTTGAGAGCTTTGAGGACGGGGCTAAGGGCTTCAGAAAGCGACGGTCGAAGGAGACCGAACATGCCTAGTAACATGCCTATAAGACCTATTGAGCAACCTGGACATTGGGGGCGAGGAAAGACCTTTGCCGATGTTTTGACTGGTGAAGCTGTCAAGCTAGGTGGTTCTCAATTGTATTCAATTATTGTTTTCATACATTTGTTGTTCATAAATGTCCAGGTCGAGCTATGCAGCAACCCACCAGTCATTAATGCCCTTCCTTGCCATCGTTTGCATCCATTTACCGCATTTTTCCAACAACGTTCGGCAAATGCTACTGCAAGTTTAAACCTCACAGAAACATACTTCTTACATCTAGCCATCTATATATAGCATATGTGATATGTGTGTTTGTTTGGTGGACTATCGGCAAGATACTTCACCGAATAGGATCACAGCATGGCAGTGTTGGCAGTGTTTTTGGGGCTGTTGAGCTGTGTTGGGCTGTTGGGCTGTGTTCCTGACATGGGCTTTGAGTTGCCCTGACGCTCAAGGACTCAAATCCCTTGGAGGGGTCAGACCCAATTGCTAGGTTTTGAGGGACCGGTCGGGCTGTGAACGGAGCGTTTGGGTGGGTGGCTTTTGGTGGGTTGGCCTGGGCAAATGCAGCAGAGACTGTGTACTGAAGAAAGGCCAAGCCTAGCTGGGGAGCAGGTTCGTGCGACAGTCGAGGATACACCGGATGCGCCGGTCGAGGGTTCCAACGGTTCTCTCCGGTTCTCTCCGGTTCTCTCTCCTGGCGCCCCTGATCTTTTTGCTTGAGCTCGGCCTGTTTCTTTTGATTTCTTTGCTTGCAATTTAACATTTGTTTTTTTCTTTTGTCCATGTTTTTGTCGGATAGAATTCAAATGTCCCGGCTGATTCATCAATTCGCCCGGTTGTTCTGGTTGCACCCTGTTCCTCCACAAGTCAAGTCTGCCTGAAAGAATGCAAAAGAACACAATTTGATGCATGGATTGTTCATGCAGAATCCCAAGGTCGTGACAAGATATTTTGAGATACTTCGAGCATGTCCCATACAGTCGGTCATCCTCAAACAGTGCAGATCGGTGGCCAAAAAGACTGCTTTAGCGGTTGCACGATGCAACACTTCTGTGGCCAACCTCAGGGTCACGCATGATCCTTTCCCCAAATGGGACAATGAATAGATGCACCACTGCGTCCAATAGATGCCTTTAGTATCCTTCTATGATTTTCTATGTGTCCTCTTCGTATTTTTTGTCATTCTCATCATCGCATTTGGGCATAGGGGCCTTGTCCTCGACATGCCACAGCTGGAGAAATCTTCCCCTTCACCCACGACGCGGTGTTCAGAACGCTGGAGGATATCGCAGTACCCCTTTGGAACCCACACTCCCTCGAACCCTCATGGAAGTGGAGTTCACCACCGGTTTTGTAGGGGGAAAATGGTCACCCAAGGGGCCATGCCATCGACTTCCACCATGATAAATTCAACAAAAACCGGGGAGCGCGCCCTGAATTGCATGCATAAGACCGGTCGGTGGTCCCGGTCCAGGTGTTACACTGGACCCATCGGTCGCGGAGGATCACGTGATCCTCCACTTCGAAAAGACAACCACCAAAGACCCGATGCCTCCCGCGCCCCAGCATCATCGGTGGGGTGTCGGGCCAAAGATCCTGAAGTTCAGACCGAGGTCAATGCCATTTGGTTTGTAAAAAGTATGAGAGTATATATATATATACAACTTGAGAAATTAGTCGTTTTTGGGAAGGTGCATGTCAGTCTTTGTAGGAGTCGGTTTGCGGATTTACAACCTTGCTCCATGTTTGTTTATTATTGTTATGTTTATATGTGTTTCTACATGCTTGTTCGATGGTGATAGGGTAAGACTAGCGGTAAGACTAGTTGTGAGCATGGCATGTTTTTGACATGTGCTTTGACCTTTTTCCCATC